GTATTAGCTCAAAAGGGTGCTTCTACTAAATACTGAGCAAAGGGTCTGAATACTTATGACCATGTGATATTTCAGTTTTTCTTTTTTAATAAATCTGTAAAAATGTCAAAAATTCTGTGTATTTCTGTCAATATGGGGTGCTGTGTGTACATTAATGAGGAAAAAATGAACTTAAATGATTTTAGCACATGGCTGCAATATAACAAAGAGTGGAAAATTTAAGGGGGTCTGAATACTTTCCGTACCCACTGTATGTGTATTTACTTTCCACCACTGCAAAACAGGCTGTTGAATAGTTTCAGTGATGGGAAGTAACTAAGTACTTTTACTGAAATAATTGTTTGCCTACTCATGTATAACAGCTTGTATTTTACTAGAGTAGTCTATATTTATCCTACTACACTACATTTTGGGGTAGATACTGTATTTTATTTTTTTACTCCACTACATTTATTTTACAGTTATTAGTATTTACTACTTTACAGTAAGATACAAAACATGAGACAAACTTATAAAATAAACCAACTAACTGCATACAAAGCAGTTAAACAGGGCTCAGTCTAGAATAGCAGCCATAGTAAAATGCTACTTAAATATTGATGCATTTGTAAGAACAATCTATTATGTAATACAAGCTATAATCAAATGCCAGTCAAGCCCCATTTTGTAGAAGCGGCTACTTTTAATACTTAAAGTATATTTTGCTGATGATACTTTTGTGCTTGTAGTTAAGTAGGATTTTAAGTGCGTTTCTCGTAACCGAGCAATTTTACATTGAAGTATTTGTATGTTACCTAAGAAATGGATCTGAATATTTTTCCGCTTTGGAATAATTCCCTTCGGAAGTGTTTTTCTATTTCCCATTTTGCCAACATTCCCTGAACGCAGCATCACCCGTTATTTTTTAGGTTACCACGGGAAACTCGTATCTAAACTCGTCTCCACCAATCACAGAGCGAGATGTTGCAACTCAGCCAATCAGAGGGCTCTTCTGTCAAGACAAACCACCGTCCTAACCACAGAGACGGTGAGATTTACCTTAGAAACTTGCAACTTAGCACAGTAATAATGGGCTATTTCCGATCACCACGAGTTTGGTTGTGTCTTGTTTGATTGTAAACGCGGCTTGAATGTTGGTGTACCATCTTGAAACAATGACAACACGTGACTCGTCGCCGCCACCGCCGCCGGTTCATGTCCACGTACCGGAGACCACTCCGGTGCATGTTCACATGAGGAGGAGTCCCAGCAAGACCCCACAGGTTATTACTCTAGTTGGTTAAACTGGAAATACAGTTAGACATTTTCATAGGTCACTTTTTTC